CCCATGGTTGCTGTGGCGACGGTGGAGGTGTTGGTTGTCCCCGTGTCGTGAGTCTCACAGGGCGGGTTGGAGCAGACAGACGTCACCGCTACATGGTCACAATGACATCATCAACACATGACTCTTCAGTGAAGTACCGAAGTAGTATCCTGTACAATGACAGTTCCTTACCTGTCTCAGTGTCTGCAGACTCTTCTACTGTTGCAGTACTTGTACCACTTCCAGGTTCTTCTGATGTAGGAGACGCCATGATGGAGACGGGCAGATCCTGGACCAGTGGCTGAGCTTCAGCTCCACTCGGAGTTGTGATCAGAGTCACCTGCAGTTGAAAACACAGGATTACTTCAGTAATGTATTATTATTCCTGTAGTACAGTAGTCTGTAAGGACAGATTTTACCTGTGTGGGTACTGCTGCAGCGGCGGTTGCCGTGGTAACCTGGCTGGCAAGAGTAGCAATGGTTGTCAGGGTGGTGATGGGCGTAGCCAGGGAGGCGTTGGCAGAAGCAGTGGCTCTACCTGCCAGCGGGCTGGAGACACTTCCTGTTACTGTCCCCAGACTGGACACTCCTGCGGAGACAGACGCACAAACACACTGTGGTGACACAGTGTTCCACCTGAAATAAGAAGCAGCCATCAGCTGACCCTTGTTTACCTGTGGTTGGCTTGACAACCAGAGTGGCGACAGTAGGTTTGGATCCGGGTGAGACCAGTCTGATTCCACTCATAGGTAGAGTCCTGAGGATGGTACCAGGTACACCTGGAGCTCCCTTTAACACTACCTACACACACACACAGCGTGTCAGAGAGAGACAGTTAAATAAAGTACAATTATTGCGAAAATAGTTTTTGTCATTTCATCACCTATGTGTGCTACGTGTGTGTGCTGTTACAGTGTGTGTGTTACCTGTGTGACCCCCTGCTGACCTCCTGCAGTGATCTTGGGGACTGTGGTGATGATTTTACCCATAGTTCCTGGCGATACCCCCTTAGTGGTGAGGATGGTGATTGGACTGTTTCTACCTGCAAGGGGAGGAGCTTAAATCAGTCAACTGTCAGGTTGAACATAAATCATGTGATCAGGAATGTTTCCTTTACCTGCACCGCCGTGCAGTGCAGACACTGGGATGGTCTTGATGATGGTGGTTCCAGGTTTGGCGGTTGTCGGGGAGACACCAAGGATGGTGGGTTTGGTCGCCGTGGATCCTGACTGCACTGTGCTGAGGATGGTCTTCTGTTTTCCATCTGCAGACGTCACCAACTTCAAGATGGTTCCTGCTGGAAGAGCGCCCTTCTTCAAACGCACAAAGACACAAGTGTTAACATGTGTCAGGTGATATGACGCGCTCTTCAGTGCAACCAGTTGTTGAGACAATCAACGGGGTCAGAGGTCAGTACCTGGATCAGCTGAGCGATGGAGCTGCTGCCAGCCTGACCAGTAACAGCTCCTGACTGAACCGGTTTGGTCTGAACCACTGACAACATCTTTCCCAGGTTATTGATCTGGAACACAGGAAGTGTTTACATCATCAGTTCTGTCAACGTACAGGTAGAGCGCCATGCCCATCAAGTGACATCACTCACCAGAGAACCGCCTCCTCCCACACCGAGTGGACTGTTAACCAGAGTGAAGGTCTTTGTGACTCCACCCACCACCGTGGTCACCACCTGAGCTTGTTGGGAGACCGTCACTGTCCCCGACTTATGGACTGTGATGACCGGTCGGCTTGGGGTGCCAGGAGTGGAGACCACCGAGGCCCCGCCCACCTGAGCAGCAGCGGTCTTCAACATCCGAGTGGCAGGGCTGGTCACCTGAGACGGGGAGAACAGGTGAGCTATATGTAAAGCTACTGTGATGTCATCAGTGTCAGACCAGATTTACCACCGTGAACGAGCGCCTGTCTGAACCGTCTCTCCACGTTCCTTAGAAACTGTTCATGCAAACATGACTCAGCAGGCTGAACGCCACGCTGTTAGCCGTGGACATTACCATGGTAACAGGATCGGCCACTTTGATTGGCAGGCTGCTGGATGCTGGACTCCCGGTCATCGTCTTCACAATCGTGGCTCCTGCAGGGACATTCAGCACCGCCGCTGACGATGGGGGGATCTTCTGAGTCGCTGCCGCCGCTGCTGCCAGTGCCGCCATTCCACTCATCTGAGGGCTGCTGCCTATTGGCTGAGAGTAGATGGCAGGAGGATGGATGTTGAGAGTTAAAGTTCAAAAACACAGTTTCCGTTACTGGAAACGCTCCAGAGCTTTCAGTCACAGCTCGTGGTTTTCTCTGTTGTCAAGAAAGCAGTTTTGTAATCGTGTGGCTGAAATCTACAGCTGCACCATTTCCATGACAATTAAACTGCGTCCAATGAAAAAGACAGAGAGACTGTGCCTGGAAAATTCCCAGTAAGTTTTTCCAGATATGATTTAAATGGCAGGGGTTGCCATGGTGAATCTGTTGGACCTTGGGTTGTATGATGAGAAACAGAACTACGTACCGTCGCCTGTCCAGACTGAGCAGGTGCCACCATACGAACGCCTGCAGGAAGTGTTGTCGCGGCAACTGGGGATTTAGGTGTGGCCTGTCTCACTGTGATGATGGAGGCTCCGCCCACAGAACCTGGAGCTGCTGCCACCTTCAGGACAGCTGCAGAACACAGGTAAGAAATATTCACATGCACCAGATCCATGGCCTACAGACTCACCTGTGAGGTGTTGTCAACTCACCTGGTGCTTTTGCAGCAGCAGCCAATGGGCTTCCAGGATTGGAGGGGACCAGCGTGACCGTCTGGTTGGCCGATGCCACCGCAACGGGGGCGGGACTCTTGGGGGAGCTGACTCCAGGAGTGGCCGTGGGCACAGGGTTGGGGGCGGGGCTGGACGCAGGTGTGGCAGGAATGTCGTACTTCTGCAGCTGCAGCAGGTACGTGTCCGCCGTCTGAGACGGGCCCCAACTCACCTCCAGAGACGACGTGTTGGCCCGGACCAGCTGCACCCGAGAGGGAGCACAGGGACGCTCTGAGGGAAGACAGGTAAGAGAGAGACAAATGGGTGAAACAGACATTTTTTCACGTCAGGAGTGAACAGTCACAGCTCAGAGCTGATCAGTTCTCTCAAGACAGATGTTAAAAACATGTGTGCACAGAGCCTGTCTCTGTGTGTGTCTCACCTGTCTCCAGGTACCACAGGTCCTTGCAGCACACCTGGTTGTTCCAGGCCTTCCTGTATCCGTCTCTGCCGCTCCAGACGTACAGTCTGGAGTTGATGGAGACACTACAGTGACCTGCTCGAGCTCTGGGGACAGTCTCCTCCAGAACATCCATCAAGACTGAGTCCCAACACATGTTGTCTGATGAGGTAGACAGGTAGGTAGACAGACAGGTGGTCAGGACGACTGATAGAAGACTACTAATATATATAATTATAAAACCCCATGCAGAACAAACGGCCCCTTTCATTAAGACATTTGGAACAATGTCTATACAATTACAGAAATGTACAATAATTTACAATCAAAACTTTTTTATCTGGGAAAAAAGGAAAAATGGATAAAAATAAAATAGAGAATCAAATTATTGCCTCACATTATTTATTTGGTAGCATTTGACAGTGTGACTGATTTTACTAATTGCTTTAGTACTGTACAATGTTGCTCCCCCTTTATCAGCCAGCTCAGCAGCAGAGGTCATAATTCACGCTGCTCCTGAATATGTGTGTGTGTGTGTCTGTACGTACCCAGGTTTAGACAGGCCAGTGTGTTGGTGCACTTCCACTCCTTCTCATGAGTCGCCACTTTGACATCATCCATCACCAGAGGAACCCAACCTCCAAATACATACATCCTGTCAGAGACAGAGACAGACACAGGTGGAGACAGAGACAGACGGGTGGAGTCAGAGACAGACACAGGTGAGTCCAGTCTGAATGTTGTCAGTTTAAGAGCTGCAATAACAAAACGTTTGTGTAGTAATGTGTGTATTTTTTTATATTAGTCTGTATTTGTAGTACAGTATGTATTAGTATTTTGTAGTGTCAGTGTCAGTGTGTGTCTCATACTTGTTGTTGATGGCGGTGGCCGAGTGGAGGCTGCGAGGGAGGGGGGCGGTCCCACTGAGGGCAGGTTTGGTCCAGGTCAAAGAGTCTGTGACATCACGACAAGAGCTTAGTTTAGACTGACAGCTGCTGCCATCCCACCTGAGCTGAGCCTGACCACACCCACATCCC